ACTCTGTCCCTCCTCTTAAATCCTTACTGGGGTGGGGGCTATGGCAGGGGGCTTTGCCCTTGGCAAAAGGAGGGCGGTGGGAGGCAGAGTTTGGGGGGGGGGCACAGCTTATCCAGGAGTTGCACAGCGGGGGATCCCTGGGACCCCCACGCTGCATGGGATGGAGTCCACATGATGCTAGGACACAGCATGCACGGGATGGTTATGCAGGGGGAAGACCTGTGGGGCAGCGTCACTCCCCCGCCAGCGCACCCCAACTGCAGAGGGGATCGGACTCCTCTCCGATACCAGTCTCTGCGGCTGCCTGGTGTGGAGGAGAGCAGCTGGTCTCCCGGGAGGGAACTCACACTTTGCAGCCTGTGGGGAAAGCAGATGCTTGTGCGAGGGTGTGCGTGCAAGGACATGCAGGCAAGTGTGCAGATGAGGCAGCAGGAGTGGGGGGCACGCAGGCACACGTGTGCCTGCACCAAGCAGCACGGGAGTGCATGTCTGTGGGCACACCTGGGTCTGTGCTTACACTGAGGAGCAGGTGCCGCACCAGAGGTGTGTGAGCAGGGCACTAGGGCACGTCTGCATGTGTCCTTGAGCGACCCCGAGGGGGAGAGGGTCTTATGAATGCAGCGGGGGCTCCCACCCTCTTGCACACCCCTTCGCCATACCCAGTGTCCCAGGCTATCCCCACCCAAGGTCTAAGTTGCCGGGGTGCCCTTTGCCTGTGGGGCTGAGGGGGCACTGCAGGGTGGGCGCCGCTGCCCTCGGGTGTTTTCTGGCCTGCAGATGGGGAGCCTGGGGCAGGTGAGGGCTGGATACAGGAGCTGATCTCTACCTGTGCCCTCCGTCACCTGGGGGGATCCAGGGGTGCTCCTCCCTGGGATGAGGGTGAGGGCAGCAGGGGGAAGGAGGTACCAGGGGGTGCCCGGGGTTTAGGTGCTGGGGATTCGGGCTGTCTGTCCATCTCCACCATCACAGCCTTTGACCACCTGGTTCCTTCTCCTGCTCCAGCTCTGGCTCTTGATGATGCCATTGAGAATGGGCCAAGCCAGGCCATGGTCCTCCCAGCACGCCGAATTGCCCCAGGCGGACCCCTGCTCTCAGCACCCCAGGTCTATGAGGAAGGGGCATCCTGGAGCCCCCTGCTCAGCTAGGTATGGCGGGGTGCAGGGCTAGAGAAGCTGTGGGGGGGTCAGGGGGGCCCTGAGCCCCTGCCTCATTGCAGGTGGGGAGCGGGGGAGGGGCGATGCTTCCCCTCAGCCTGGTGTGGGAGAAACCTTCAAGTCCTGGCACCATCTGCACATCCACAGTGGTGACCCCACGTCGCCCCACCCCGTACTGCACATCCATCACCTCTGGATCATCCCTTCCATCAGTCTGAGCCTGCCTGAGCCTCATAGCATGAGGCCCCCCATTCCCTAAAAAGCCCTATCCCCCACACCCTTTGCTGCCCCTGGGCCAGTCCCCAGCCCCCAGCCCCGTGCCTCTGAACCTCTCTCCCCCAGGCAAGCTGTGCTGCTGTGCTGGCTGCCAGAAATGCTTCTCCCGCTCCAGCTCCTACACCAGCCACCCGCGCACCTGCTGGCGTCTCCTGGGTCACCCTCCACCCTCTGGGACCCCCACCCAGCCCAGGATGGGACCTTGGCACCAGGATGCCTGGGGTGTGCTAAGGCTGTGTGGGACAGGCACCAGCCACCGCTCGGAGCCAGAGCCGCTCTGCTGTGCCAGCGGACCCCCCCGGCATCAATGGGTCCCTCCCACACCCCAGCGAGCCTCTGTATCGGTCCCTGCCCAAAGCAGGGCCGATGTCTCCCTGGGATCCAGCTGTGCTGCCTAGGGCCCTGTGCCTCCCGAGTCTCCTGTGTCCCCCCTTCTGCCCCTTCTTGCCTGGAGCTCTTGGGCCCCTGCCTGCCCTCCATCTCCTGCCAGCCCTGGGCCAAGAACAAATCCAGTGGACGCTGCTGCCTGGGAACTGGGAGTGACTGGTGCAACTGGTGAGCAGGCGTTTGGGGGCACTGGGGAGCTGGGAGGGCACTGGGAGAATGCAGCAGTGGATGCTAGCACTGGGTACTGGGGACACACTGGGATGGGAACTGGGGGGCACAGGGAGGGTGCTGAGGCCCTGGGAGGGGCTGGGGGCAACTGGGAGGCTCAGGGGGATGATGACCCTGACAGGGTGCTGTGACAGCTCCCATATTGACTGACCGGTGTGTCCTGCACGCAGGAGTCCTGGTGGTACTGGCCATCCTGGGGTCCGCAGGGGCTGGTGGCAGCTGCAGCAGGGTGCAAGCACCCCGGAGCACACCCCAGAGAGACCCCCAGCCCTGGTATGGCCAGATCCTGTCCTGGCACTGGCTGTGCCAGCAGAGCCAGGGGCCTTTCCTGGAGGGGGGGGGTGGATGGCAATGGATATGTATTTGATGGATGGTGGAAATAAATCAGTGTTGTAATGACCTCAGGGAGGTGTATGGGGCATGGCAAGGGGCAGAGGGAAGGGCATTTGGGGGCTGCCATATGCCTGGATGACGGCGTTCTCAGGGGAGCCAGTGGGAGGTGGGTGGCTCTCGGTGCCGCAGACCCCCCCAACCCTGGTCAGAGCAGGAGGTGCTGGCGGTCCCAGAGAAGGTGCCTGTTTACTGCAGAGTTGAAGGTACATAGGGCAGGGAGGGCTGGGGGGGCAGAAAGGGGCATCAACAACCAGAGCACCCATGCCTGTGTTGGGGGG